TAATTAATGCAAATTTGGGGTTTTCGCACTTTACATTTCCTCGCAATTTAATATTCCGTCTCTCGATTCGATACTTTTACTACTTTCGGTATTTTAAATATAAAATACTAAAAAATAGCATTTTGATATTCTGTAACTTTCGATTCTCATACGCGTTTTCGATTGAAAGTCAGACTGCTAGCCTAAGTAAAAAGAACTTACGTAGGAGGATTTTTTATTAGGACCATAACACTTTTTAGAATCGAAATCGATCGAAATTCCACCAGAAACACTATGACACATAACAAGAGGCACAAACTAACATTCTCCACCCATCACCTTATCTGACAAAAACTTAAAAAGTAATTGATGCCAATTAAAATAATCAGTAATAATTTACAGTAAATCGTAATTTAAAAGTGAGAATATTAGGTGTTACAAATTTTAACTTCCGATGCAAATAACGTCGCAAGTAATAAAACATTTTGGTTTTATTAAACAACCTTTATCCAGCAACAAGTTAAGAACAAAACCAATCAATTTGGTCAAGGCGTAATAAACAAAATGAATCCCCGATCATTTTATAAATAATTATGATTTTTTTATTCGAAAGTAAAGAATGGCTATTTTAGTTTATCAGGTATATAATTTCTGAGACAGTTGACCCTGCTGTCTCACTTAAAATAAATTATATATTAAAATTAAAATAAAAAAATTATAATTAAATATATTATATTTTTATTTTATATTATTAAAACATGTAAATATATTATAATATTATAATTTAAATTATAAAAATCAATTAATTAAATTTAAAATATTGATTATAATTAATTATTTTAATATATAAATATGATAATTTTTTAATTAATTAATAAAAATATTGATTAATAAATAAAAACTTAAAAATTATTCATATATTTAAAAATATATTATTAAAAAAATATATAAAAAATTTAGATAAAAAAAAATTAGTAGACTGGAGTTTGTAAATCGACTTGATTATGAAAGATCAACCCACACTATCCCATTTTTTGTATATTAGAGCAGGACGAATCATCATGAAATAAACTTGTCCATTTTACTATCCTATGCACTATTCTCATCATGAAATAAACTTGTCCATTTTGCTATCCTATGCACTATTCTTATCATTTTCTCCATTTCTACACGCACGCAAGAGCGCACACCCACCTATCCCATTTTTTGCATATTAGAGCGGGACAAATCAAAATGGAATAAACTTGTCCATTTTGCTATCCTATGCACTATCCTCGTCATTTTCTCCATTTCTACACGTGCATACACACACACACACACGTACGCACGTGCACGCACATGCACACACACATATATCCAATGTTGTACATGTTAACTTTTAATATTTCTATTCTAGCCTCTAATGAATTTAAAATAAACAGATGTTTGTTCTTAGCTATATTTTGTTCTTAGCTTCATTAGAGGCTAGAATAGAAATGTTAGAAGTTAGCATCTACAATGTTAAAGGCTTAACAAGTAAAAAAAGTGAGGTCAATTCACCTTTGCTTGAATATTTCATTGAAGAGATTAAAAATAGATTATAGGATTATTGCAAGTAAAATAATGTACATTTTATATACTTAGTTTGAACCTCATTCTCTTCTATCATGACATACTCTAGGGTTAGGAATATATATTTTATTATTATTTTTATTTAAATTATATATTAATAAATTTTTATTATCTTTTAAAAGAAAAATAGTTATTTTGATTTAGGTAGTTATAATTAAGATATTGTTAAAATTTAATATTTTGTCATATTTTTACTCTATGTACATAAAGTACATGAATAAAAGATATACCCATGTAAGATATAAAAAATACAAGCACACAAAAACCCTAAAAATTTTCATCAATGGTATCAAGGACTTTGGTTCTTACGAGAAAAATGGAAAGAGAAATAAATTTTTTCATAAGTCACTTTTCCAAATTTTGATGGTGAAAGTTATGACCTATGGATTGTGAGAATGCAATATTATCTAGAAAAATTGAATTTATGGGAAGCTATAGAGAGGATTACATCATTACTCAAATCAAATTTCAAAGAGAAAGAAAAACAATAAAGGCAAAAACTAAATCATGTTTATTTGTTGGTATTTCATAAATTATTTTCACCAGAATCATGACGCTAAAATTATCCAAAGAAATATGAGATTATTTGAAAAAATGATTCAAGGTATGAAAGTTTTAAACTAAATAAGAGAATTTAAGATACAAATATGCAAAAGTTTGAGATAATTAATGAATACTCAAGAAAATTGTTGGGTATTGCTAACAAGATAAAATGATTAGATAAGAAATTTCCTAATTCCAAAATAGTAAAGAAAATTCTAGTAATTGTACAAGAGAGATATAAAACATTTATTCCTTCATTAGAAAACATAAAAGATGTTTTACAAGCACAAAAACAACAAAGATTAATGAGAGGAGATTATGTTGCTATTGAAGGTTCTTTACTATATTATAGTGAATGTTCTCTCCAAATCAAGAATAATAATGATACAAAATCACGTGTCTTCCCAATCTGTCCTTATTGCAAGATAAATAACCACTTACACAAATGTTTGTGGAGGCACAATGTGAAATATTGTGATCAATTGAAACATATGGAAAATATATGTGAATTAGAACCAAAAGAAGTTAAGGTTATAGAGGACAGAGTAAAAGGGGGACATTTTCTTACAACATATTCTACAATCAACAAATACACATGTTGACTTATAAATAGTAGTTATACAAACCACATGACTCATGATCAATAACTTTTCAAAGTGCTCAATGATTATTTCTAAAATGAGAATCAACAATGGAGAATAAATGAATATGAAAGATATAAGAACAATTGTAGTTAAAAGTCATTTGAGTATCAAATTAATTTTTGATGTTTTATATATTCCCGATATTAACCAAAATTTGCTAAGTATTGCTCAATTATTAGAGAAAAGTTATAAAGTGTCATTTGAACACAAACTTTATATAATTAAATATGCAAATAACTTGAAAATATTCAAAGTTCACGTGAAAGAAAAAAATTTTACTTTAAATTTGATGAAAGAGGAATTGACTATAAATGAAAATATAAAAAAAAAAGCCAAAAGAAAAACATGATAAATATTTCTTAAAGAAACTTGATGTTAAAGAGAAAAAAAAGACATAAATGAAGAAACAATTTCCAACTTATATCAAAGATTCAATAGTGAAGTTGAAAGAAACAAAAATGTATTAAATTTTTTTATCATCTTTTAAAAAAAAGATATTAAATTATTATTTAAAAAAATATATTAAATTATTATTTTAATTTAGGTGATTTTGATTAAAATATTATTAATATTTAATAATTTTCACATTTTTATTTTATATATACATAAAATACATAAATTAAAGATAAAAAAAATCCTAAAACTTCTCATCATCTTGCGTGAAGTTTATTGAATTAAGTACATATGATATGTTCTTGGTATGGTAACATATTATCTCATTCTAATTATTGTCTATTCTAATTATTGTCTATACATCTATTTGACTGTTCATATTATTCTAAGAATTATTAAAACAACTTTAGATACTTATCATGACAAAGAGAGCTAAAAATCAATATCAAATAACAATCCAAACAAATTTTAAGCGCATTTTCAAAAGAAGTTTTTAGCTAGAATTATTTAAAATAAAATTGAATATTTTATTATAGATCCTATAGTTGAGTTGTTTAAAATATGATTAGAGTTATTTATCTAAGTAACTAATTTTAAACAACTTTCTCTATTTTAAGTAAGTTAGATGTAAAATCCATAATAAAATATTTATTTTTATTCGTAAACAATTTTTATTCGTAAACAACGACAGAGGTCATTTGTTCAAATAATTGAAAAAACATTAACAATCAATTATTTTATAAAACAAAATACATCATATAATTTCAAATATTTTACAAAAAAAAGGATGAAAAATAAATTAAACACTGGATGACCACTTTCATGTTAAAAAAAAAAGGAAATTGAGAAAGATCTATAGAGGAGGCAAATTTATTAATGAACATCAACTATATATGCCAACGGTAAATCACTTTTGAAGGAAATTAAGAATCAGGTCCCTTTGGCTGTGCAAAGGTAAATCTAGGATAAAACTTCTTCCCAGAAATAGAACTTTTTAAAAATTGAAATATTCCATAAAAAAAATCTTAAACTACAGTATATTGGTTTTCCCTGTACCAAAAGAAATCCAAATTTTTTTCTTCCATTCCTTACCTTCTTCACTTTATTCTTTGCCAATTCAAAGAAATAGATCCTAATTATTAACTTCCAGTAATAAAAATCACCAGGGATACCAAAAGAGAAGAAAAATTTGGAAGCAACAGAATTTACAACATATCAAACGAAAAGTGTTTATCAACCTCAAAAATCACTCAAAACTACAGCGTGGAAACTCGCCAAAAAGAAATAAAAAACTTCATAAGTTTCAAGTAACAAACAATACATAACCTCATTAATACAAAACCGAAGTTTCAAAAGAAGATATCTCGAATAAGTTTTGAAAGCAGAAAAAATTAATAGAAGACACAAGCTAAGAAAAGTGTCACATAACAATATTAACCAGCAAAGCATTAACATCATTACCAGAACAGGAGGAATGCAGCATGCTGCAGGCAATGTTCGACTTGGAACATGACAAGATTGTCAAGTTTATCAACATGTTCAATGACTTCTTTCTTTGAAAACATGAATGATCCAATGCAAATTCTGTTTAAACATACTATTAATTTGATGGATCAATTGTCAAGTATGTGACATATACCTATTTTTTCACCGTAGAGGATTAAAGTCGGCTTCAGAATAAATTTCAGTTGGACTCCTCAGAACGAGATCCAATAACAAGTGGACCTTCCCAAAACTATCTTTGGTCAATCTAAAGCAAAACATAGCACCATTACAAGGTATGGAGCCACCATAACAATAAACTTTAGCCCAGCATTCTTTCACCATCTTTTAACCTTGATTTTTCTTCTTCTCCATTTTTCCTTTACAAAAGTACTTACATGGTAAGAATTTATTCAATAAGCGTTTAGTTAAGCTTTTCTCCGAAACACACTTCAAGTTCTGCACGAGTTCCACTTCAGGAGAGATCAACCTGACGGCACATAAAGATTCGTAACTAGGAACAATTACATTGTTATTTGGAGTGTTATTTGGTGCAGGCTCGTGCTCCATTTTTTCATCAATTGGCTCATATATAAGATAAATTGTTGTCTTGATAACAGTTAATCTGCTCCAGAAAACAACAACAATTTGCACCTTGTTTCCAGGCTCTATGTTTGATAGTACCCTCCTCTGCAACTCCTCATCTTTAAACGATGCTAATGCATTTCTTTTATAAAGCTGAATGGTGGTCTTTGTGAGATTTATCACCAACAAATTTTTAAGGCCATCTGATGTTATATTGTCAGGGGAAGAATAATGGATGTGGCACATCATTGTCTTCAAGTTACGCCCATTCACTTGAGGGATTTCAAAAGTCACAGAAGAACCGTTGTTATTGTTGCTACTGAAGGATAACCAATCTGGATAACAGTCACCAGGGAGCAAACAGTCACTGTCATCACTTGTAGGCATATTCTGTAAAAATAAAAAATACATATGCTGAAAAGTTTATCAATCAATGCATTAATACCATGTTCTGATAAATTCAACAATTTACTAAATAACAAGATAAAAACTCATTTTGTCATCAATTAAACTATGATCTTTCGCCAAAAACTATTTTAAAACGATGATAACTTGCAGAAATGAAGTAAATTGTTAAAATGATTGAAAATTATGAATAAGAATATCATGACATTATTTTCTTTCTTTTACGGATGAATTTAAGTTGATGACAGCTTTTAATAGCAGAATATATGATGGCAGTGTAAAAAATATCTATGTTGTTGAATGATAATGTTAAAGAAATATGATTACAATCTCATCTTTATATTTTTTAAATTTTATGTTGACAGCGTATGTACTATACACTTCCACATACAAATTATATATTGAAAATAATTCAACTGCCAATAAAAAAGAAAAATTTTCAAACTATAATTTATGAGAAATATATATATATATCATAAAAATATTACAATTAAATGCATTTAAGAGAGAAAGAGAGAGAAACGAACTTGTAAAATTCTCTGTTTCAGAGCATGGGTGATTTCCCAACTAGTTCCCATTTGAATTAAAAGTGTTTTCACAAAACATTTTGACATTGATTTGCATTCAATCAATGTGAATACATTTTGCATTTGTGATGTAGTTGTAGATGACTCTGATTCTTCAGAATTTGAATTATATAAAGCATCTAAAATACTTGTTGTATCTCGAGAAAGTTGAAGGTCCGAGCCACACTCTATCGAAAGACTTTGAAGCTTTGGAAGCTCCTCAGTGATATATGATAGCTGATTGGAACTGCTATTTGGAACATCTATAGCAACAAGTGATGACATATCCACAAATGTTTGAACACAAGAAGAGAGATTATTTGCTGGTGACATCCAAGACCAAATGATTGAGGGAAACACATCGCGTGAAAATCCTTCATAACCACATAATGAAATATATCCAATACTTTGCGATCTAACTATTGAAAAGGGCACTCTTGTTATTGCAGTCTTATCTGCAATAAGGGTCGTCAAAGACTCCATCTGTTCTATGTCCTCTTCCAACTTGTCAATCTTTAAACATCCAGAAAGAATGAGTGTTTTAAGAGATTTCAATTTATAGATACTTCTTGGAAGGTTACGAAGGCTAATACAATCTTGAAAATTTAGTAGGAGAACTTTGGTGAGATGTCCAATGGTATATGAAACCTCAGACAGGCTTGGACAATCTATGAGTACCAGCTTTTCAAGATTAGGCAAATTCAAAAAGTCTGGAGTCTTTGTTAAATAATGTGAATGGCTAAGATTAAGAATTTTCAACTTCTCCATCAGCTACAAGAAATTCAATACAATAGAGAAAAATTAGATATAAAACTAAAAAAAATAAATGAAAGCAATTAAATTATGTCATGAACACTGCACGTTGGAAGTTAAAAAATTTATACTCATGATGCTATTTTTTTAGTGCTAATGTATTTTGGTTTAGTTTTACTTTTGTAAGTGTAGACAAAGGCTATATTTATGTGTGTATGTCCCATAAACTATTAAAATAGTTACTTATAAACATTTTATGGCTTCTTTAATCAACTAGAAAAAATTGCAACTTTTACCTTGCCTATCCTCTAGAAGAGGGAAGTGGCAATAAGATCTGTCTTTGGAGTTGACAAAAATTGTGATAACAATTTAACAATTAATATTTCCCTTAATCCAATTAACCATGATAATAAATTGACATAATGATGTAAACATGACCAATGACAAGGGCTAGAAACAAGTATTGTTGGTTGACCAAATTGTGTTTTGAATTAATCAATTAATGGGTTTTAATTTGGTTTTATTGCAAGTTGTAATAAGGGCCCAACTGGAAATTTAGTTTTTGGGAGACCAAGAGGGTGCATAGCTGATTAACTTTTGATTGCCACAATTTCAGTTATAATCAGTCATTAAGTAGTTTTCAATTCCTAAGTTAATAAATCATTATTAACATTTATTTTCCTTTAGTGAATCTTTGTAATTCTGATGACAAAACTTCTTTATAAGATGAACCATTTTTATCAGAAATAACAAGTAGAATTTTATTCAGAAATATTAGAGTTTATCTCTTTTATCTTAGTGAGAGTGATTCTCCTAAATTCTTGAGTGATTCAAGAATACTTGGCTATACCAAAGGACTTTCACATCCTTTGTGAGTTGTCTTCCTTGGAAAGAGTAATTATTTCCTTTCACCTTATTAGTAAATCCCTAAATTTCTTACAAGGTTCTAACCCTAAAGATCCTAAATCACCCTTTATGATTCATATAAGGTAATACATAAAAAAAAAATTAGATAGAGGTATAATTTGCACATATTCCTACAAGACTCCAATTAACATTTGTGTTCATCAAGGGAATCCTTACAAACAGATTTCATGAACATATTGGGGAGTTGAGAATGATTCACTCATCAGTACGGAGGGAACTGGTGTAAATATGGTAGATGTTTTAAGATATATATATATATATATATATATATATATATATATATATATATATATATATATATATATTTATTTATTTATTTATTTATCTTGACATTTATCTTCTTTACATATTTCATATTTAGGCATACTTGTTTACTGTATTAAGGGCAGATTACAGCTTGTGCTAGAAGTATGGATATAAAAGTTCACTTTATTTCAACTTAAAATTTTGTTGATGGTACTTGTAATAATAATACATTGATGAAATTTGGCTTGGTTTGGTTTCCTTGAGTATTCATCCGAATCATATATAAAAATTAAATATGTATTTGGTTTGATTTTAGTTTAATAACCAATGTTTTGCGGTTAATTTTAGATAAGTTTTTGTAATTTTTATTATTATAAAATTATTAAACATATTATTTTTAAAAATTGTAAAATATTTTTCTATAAAGAATTATTAAACATTTTATAATGTAAAAAAAATACATTTTGGAATTTTTTTAATGACCGTTGCAATATTGATAATTTCAATTTTTTTATATCATAAAAAAATTACATAATCATGTAGTTAAAAAATATAATATAAATTTGCTATCATGCTTGATAATATAATTATATTGTAAGTAAAATATATCATACTGTAAAACGACTTTAAGGAGACATACCTATGCATGTTTATTAGATATTAGTTAACTCTAAATATATATAGCTTTAAGGAAAATGAGAGAAAACAACGCCTGAAATTCAAAAAGACAAAATTAATACCTGGGTCTCCTTCCACATCATTGTAATCTTACTGTTTTCCAACTCAATAGAAATTAGACTTCCTTGATAAAAGCTTGTTGGTATGAAGGCAAAAGGAAATCCATGCCAACAAAGCCATCTAAGATCTTTCGAAAGATATTCAAAATCTCCAACAAGTTCCACACCAGAAAGTTGAAGCAACCTGAGTTTCTTCATGTTCATAAAAGCTTTAGTGCTCAGAGATTTTGAATTACTTCTTGGTAACTTTAAAGCCAATCCCTCGATAAATTTTGTTCCCTATCAAAAAAACGAACAAGTAAAATTTATATATAAAGATATATGGTAGTTAAAACCCTGATGAAAATACTCGTCATTTATTCTAGGAGGTAAGAGGAAAAAAACAATTCACAATCAAATTAAATTTCCAAATTCTCACGTCAAATCAATTTTATAAATCAGTGCTAATAACCAACTCTTAAATGGGTAAGTTGTTTCCATTAGCTTTAGAAATTTTAAATACTTAAGTAACAAATGAAGGTCTTACAGTTTCTTTTGATAACACATCAAGCACATCCTCATGAAACCATAACCTGCTTCGTTCCTCAAGCACCATTGGTGATTTTGATCGAATAACTTCTCTTCCCATGTCCCGTAGCAAATCATGCATTCCAAGTTTGTTCTTATCATCTACTGTTACAAGGCTTCGCTCTACCAAGACACGTATTCCATTCTCTGGGAAAAGTCCACAACCATTTAATATATGTATAACATCATTCCGATCCATTCCTATGAAGAAACATGCTATATCAAGGAATATTCCTTTCTCTGTATCATCACTTAAACCATCATAGCTTATTTTTAACTTCTCCTGTACTTCATCATTAGGAATTTTCTTGAGTTTTTCCAATACACTCTTCCACTCTGTTACCTCCATATCAAACAAATAGGACCCGAGGATTTCAAGAGCTAGTGGCAATCCCCCAGAATAAGCAACTACATTCCTTGAAAGTTCAATAAAATCTTCTCTGGGCCTTGCTTGCTTGAACGCATGCCAACTAAAAAGCTCAATAGATTCATCTACATCCATTCCTGACATTGCGAACACTTTATCAACTCTTTTCCCTCTAAGTATATGTATATCTCTGGTTGTGATGATTATTCTACTCCCTGGACCAAACCATTCACGACTTCCACACAAAACATTTAATTGCTGTAATTTGTTTACATCATCAAGAATAAGAAGTATCCTTTTATGGCGAAGTCTTTCTCTTAATAAATTTTTTCCTGATTCAATGTTACGTATCTTTATATTGTTTTCTTTGTTGATATCATATAAAAGTTGTTCTTGTAAACAAACTTGGCCAGCTTCTTGCCCCCAAACTTCCCTAATATCAGCAAGGAAACTCCTTCCCTCAAAATTGTGGCGAATCTTATTGTAAATTGCTTTTGCAATAGTTGTTTTACCAATGCCTCCCATTCCCCATACCCCTAGTAGTAGAACATCGTCTGATTGGTTTTGGTCTAGTAACTGAACCATTTCTTGCACTCGAGGTTCTACTCCGACCGGATTATTGGCAACAAACAACTCTGTCTTGTCCAACAAACTTGTAACATTGTTAACGATTTTTTTTATAGCCTCGCTTTCATTCCTAAAGTAAAAGGTGTTCAGTTCACATATATGCATCAAAATAAAAGGAAACTTTTTTGTAAATTTTTCCAACTGTGTTACTTCATTATGTTCATCTAAAGCATTGTATTTTTAATTATTTATTTTTAAAAACTATTGTGTACCACATATGTCAATAACTAACTTTTATAATGGGAATGGGACTAAAGAAATTTATAGACGAAGACGTTGGACCACACAACTAAGAATATTAGCGATTGAAAACTAATTAAAGTGATAAAGAAATTTTGGAATATTCTTTACAAAACATTTTTTTCTTATATAAAAACAAAAATACAAGTCGTAACTTTCAACGTCGGTTAGAACCGACGTTGAAAGTATGATTTTTTAAATTAATAATTTTTATTTATTTATAACCCCTTTACCCCTTTTATTTATCTAGAAGTCTCCCCTCTCTTTATAATATATTTTTTAGAAGTTTTTTAATTTTTTAAGAGAATTGTCATTAGCGATTGAGATCTCTAACTCTAGAAGTTACTTTTTAGAGATCTGGAGAGGCTGATACTCCAACCACTAAACTACTTGAATTTTCTAATAATAACTTACAAATAAATTATATTTATATACAAATAAATATATATCCGTGTAAATATATAAATACAAATATATTTATATATTTTGATATATTTATATAGTTATATATTTATATGTTGGATGTGAGGGCACACTCAAAAGTGAAAGTGTGTGTCGAGTGGGTTTTCAAAATTTGATGCTAAATTTGTGAGCGAGTATCTTTATATGAGTTTGTAATTTAATGACAGAATATAATCTTTATAATTTTATTTATATAATAATATAAAATAAATTTGGGAAATGCGTTATTTGCTCTCAAGCGAAAAATACCAATTTTCGCTCAAGCGAGACTTGAGTGAGTGAATTTCCGTGAGCTTTAACATATTTTCATTCAAGCAAGAGTCAATCACACTTTCACCCTCGATCGAAAAATACCAATATAATTTATTTGTAAGTTATTATCAAAAAATTATAGTAGTTTAGTGGTTGGAATATTAACTTTCAACCCTAAAATACTCGAGTTCAAATGCTATCAGTGACAATTCATTAACTTAAGAGAATTTTTGGCTAAAAATAAAAATAAAAATACTTTCTAGAAAATATATACAAATAAATATATATTTACATGGATATATATTTATTTGTATATAAATATAATTTATTTGTAAGTTGTTATCAAAAAATTCTAGTAGTTTAGTGGTTGGAGTATCAGCTTCCAACTCTAAAGTACTCGGGTTCAAATCTTATCGATGACAATTTTCAAATTTAAGTGAGTTTTTGGCTGAAAAAATTTAAGCGACGTTAGATGACGACGTAGAAAGTATATTTTGTAGTAGTGATAATTTTTATGAGCATTAAACAAACAGGCTCTCGTCCTTAGTACTTAACCAACATTTGTTTGATTCCCTGAAAATACAGTTTCATCAAACCATTAGTATTAATTTCTAATTAATTATAAATATTAATTAATATGAATTTTAAGTTTATAATTTTTTATCAAAACTCAATTACCGTAATCATTCTACTTTGTCATGTATATTATCCTCTCTGTTTCATCTTCTAAATAGTTATCTTTCTATAAAATGCTTTAATCCTTGTGAATGATAAAATTTACGAGAAAAACAAAAACAAAATAACAGCGAAATTTAGGGGTTGTGAAATTTTGTGATACTGGTGATACAAAAAAGTTTGAACAATAAAGAAATGTTATTTCATGAAAGAAAAAAAAAATCACAGAAAGTAGAAGTGTTAAATTACCTAGAATTGAGGACTACAAACCCTGAGATGCCAGCAGCCTCACAAAGTGCGTCCCCAGCATGCTTCACGAGCATGTTGATCTCATTATCCTTTTTTCTTCTTCATACATGTTATGAATGGCATATGTTATATTTAGAGACAATACAATGGTCCGTAAAAATGGGAGAAAGTAGGTGTTTTGTTACTTACCTGTAATGCAGGACTACCAACCTCGCGATGCAGGCAGCATCACAAAGTGCGAACTTCCAATGTTTCACGAGGTCCTCTATCTGATTATAAGCCTTTAGCATTTTATATCTTCATACATGTTATGAATTTAATAAATGTTACCATTAGAGACGACGTTCAGTAAAAACATGAAAGCAGAAAGTGTTTCAATTATCTCTCAAGAAGGAGTGGTAGTGAAAATCTTTTTAACACTTGTTCCAACCATTTTTTACTATTTGTTAAAATTTATTAGAACTTGCAGTTTTAGATAGCTTTAATTTTCTAAATCATTAAAAAGATTCATTAAATGATAAAAAAGAGTTACAAAAAGCTGTGATTTTAAACAAATCTTAACTAATATAGGAGAGTGTTGAGAAAAAAATTTTGGAGGGTTACTGAAGTTTCTCTTACCTGGATCTGACTGCACATCTTGAGATGTCAACAGCATTAGCAATTTCCATCCTCCAACTCTCCACGAGGAATTCTGGGTTATGCTCTCTACATGATACATGTTATGAATTTCATAAATTCTATTTTTAGACAACTTGTTTAGCAAAAATCTGAAAGCAGGAACTGTTTCAATTACCTGGAATATAGATCTTCATCATCCCCTGATTTATCAGCTGCCTTACCAAGCTTGTCAGGCCGAAGCTTGTCCCGCCAAAGAGCCGTGAGGAGATGTAGCTCTTTATGAACCAACCACATTGCAAAACTTGATAGATGTTATGAATTCCATCAATATGTTATTTTTAGAGAAAGTGATTAGTAACAATCTGACAGCAGGAAGTGTTTCAATTACCGGGAATCATCCAAATCTAAGACTGCACCCCCTCCGATGTCAGCATCCTCACAAAATGCATCCCTCCAATGCTTCATGTGGAGTTGTATAGCTTTAGTAATCTCCATTTCTCCGCTTCATACATTTGATGAATTTCATTAATTTTATCTTTTTGAGACATTGTATAGTGAAAATATGATCAAGCATTAAATGTTTCAATTACCAGGAATTTAAGATTGCACCCCCTGAGATACCATTAGCCTCAAAAAGTGCCTCCCTCCAACTCTTTAGGCGGTGGTCTATGTCATTAATAATATCCATTTCTCCACTGCATATACGTGATCAATTTCATAAACGATATGTTTAGATACAATGTTCAGGAAAACTCTGAAAGCAGAAAGTGTTTCAATTACCATGGATCTAAGCCTGCAACCTCTAAGATGCTAACAGCCTCACAAAGCATCTTCCTCCATTGCTCCCCGAAGTCTATCTTAACATCAATATCCATATAGAAACTTGATACATACATGTTACGAATTTCATAAATGTTATTTTTAGAGACAATGTAAAGGAAAACATAGAAAGCGAGAAATGTTTCACAAATTTTATTTTAAGACTACATACCCAAATTTGACTGGAGTAACCATGGTCCAATTCTCCACGAGGTTGTTTATTCTATCCGCAATCTCCATTTTCCAACTTCATGTCGTGAATTTCATAATTATTATTTTGAGAGACAATGTTCAGTAGATAAAGTACGAAGTGTTTCTATTACCTAGAATTGACGTCTACAACCCCGGGAATGCGAGCAACCTCATCAAGTGCCGCTTTCCAATTCTCCACTTTTCTTTTCAGGTCCAAAGTACATACCAGTTTTGAATTTCAAAAATGTTATTCTTAGAGACAATGTTCTGTAAAAATCTGCGGAAACAGAAGGGTTTTATTACCCGGAATACAGTACTTCCAACGCTGAGATGTCAGCAGCCTCACCAAGTGTCTTCGTCCAACGCTGTATCCAATCCATCACCTTTCCCTCTTCCTCTTTCGCAATCTTGTCCAAAAGGTTTTGAAATGCTTTCCCGAAGTCCCCTCTTAGATGACGTACTTCAGAGGGATCAACATCATAGAACACTGGTAGCACCACATGCCCCATGGTTCTGTGACACTCCATTATTTTCTCCAACTCTTTCAAACACCACCTCGACTCTGCATAATTTTTCGAGAAAACAACAATCGAAATTCGAGAAGCTTCAATTGCTATCCGCAGTGAGGGTGAAATTTGACTACCCCGAGGCAGTGACTCATCATCCTTGAAAACAAAGATTCCTTCATTCTGAAGAGCCGCGTAGAGATACGAAGTGAAAGAAGCACGCGTGTCTTCCCCTCTGAAACTCAAAAACACTTCAAAATTTCTGTTGTCATGGTACTGATCACGGAGAAACTCCATCTCCATCTCATCATCGCCATCGGAGAAAGACATGGAAGAGACGAAAGGAATTTGTCGCCGAAGAAGGAAAATGGAGGTTCAGAAAAATGTTTAGGCAAAACGATAACAATTCTCATCATTTGATTTGAAATAAATTATGGTTGCCATTTAAGTGTGAATCTAATATTTTTCCGCAATGATAATGATTTTATTTAAATATATCATTATTATTATTATTATTATTATTATTATTATATTATATAATAAAATTGAATAAAAGTAGTGAAAGGAATCAACAAATCAATCATCTAATAATATTTCAATAGTTAAAATAAATTGCATATGTGTTTTATTGTGTAATTCAATTTTATTTATATAAACAAAAATAATATCTCTTAGGAAAATAAATAACTGAACTGAATTTACTAATCATTGGTTGTTTAACTCATTATTTCCAATATTATTTTTTATTTTATTGAAACTGTCTTTTCAATATTACAAAACTTCTAAAATGTTGTAATAAATTTTATAAAATATATATCACTGTACTCACTACTCTTGCAATTAAAATATTAATTTTAAGTTGACCAATATTTGAAACTTTTCACGTCAACGTTTATCTTCATCTCGGGTGATAATTTTGAAGCAATGATTGGAATGGTTCTACAGTAAACAACAAACTGGTTCAGTGTTTTCTTCTTCAGCTTCTGGAGACTACAATTCCTTTTCATGTCTTCCATTTTTGCCAAGGGATATTCTTTTCTCATCCCCAATTTTGAGGTAGGAGAAGCGGATCGGTTGCCGAAGAAAGTTGCAAAGGACACAAGAATCCATGAAGTGTTTTTGAGTTTCAGAGGGAAAGACACGCGCGCTTCTTTCACGGCGCATCTCTATGCTGCTCTTCGTAACGCGGGAATCCTTGCTTTCAAGGATGATACGTCGCTTCTGAGAGGAGATCACATTTCACCGGCGCTGCTGAAAGCAATCCAAGTGTCTGAAATATCTGTTGTTGTATTCTCGACCAATTATGCAACTTCAGCGTGGTGTATGCAAGAGTTGGAGACGATAATGAAGTGTCATAGAAACACAGGGCAGGTGGTAGTTCCAGTGTTCTATTACGTTGATCCCTCTGAAGTGCGACATCAAACGGGTGGGTTTGGAAGCGCATTTCGAAGCCTTGAGCGCAGGATTTTAGCAGAGGAAAACGAGGTGAGTCTAAGGATGAGCATGTTTAAAAGGAAATTCAACCTCCAGAATTGGAAGGAGGCACTTGCTGAGGCTGCTGGCATCTCAGGGGTGGTAGTTGAATATGCAAGGTAATTCAAACATAATTTTCGTTTAATTATATTTGATGGGTCAAAAGTGTTCCCACTCCCAATGTAGGTTCAATTCAACACCTAAGTTTCAACAAGTTTATATTAATTTATATGCAAGTAAAAATTAAGAATTCACAAAAAAAAATGGAAAATATTTTCCATTTCACATTCAGGATTTTATGCTTACATTTTGTCTTTTTCTGCTTCATTTTCCTCCTCTATAACTTTCTTTATTCTGCCCCATTATAAAATGTAGTTTTAAGTATTAATTGTTGACATAATAGTTTTAAAAAATAAAACTAAAAACACAAACCAAACTCACTCTAAGAATCATTATAGATGTATCTTTGTTTTATCATTTTTTTGAGAAATGGCAGTGATTAATTACCTGCCTTGTAAGAACCTAATGGAGTAACAGACTTCCACCAAGCTATATATATTTATTTCCTCAAAATTCCTTCTCTTTATGATACATATATATGTGTACTTCTTTTCTATGGTTTTTTTTATAGGGATGAAAATGAGGCTATAAAGAACATTGTTGAAAATGTAATACGTTTATTAGACAAGACAGAGTTGTTTGTTGCTGATAATCAAGTGGGAGTAGAATGTAGAATACAAGATATCATTCAGCTACTAGACCTTGAAACTCCTAATAACGTTCTACTACTAGGGATGTGGGGAATGGGAGGCATTGGTAAAACAACCATTGCAAAAGCAGTTTACAATAGGATTGGCCGCAATTTTGAGGGAAAGAGTTTCCTTGCACATATTAGAGAAGTTTGGGCAAAAGACACTGGCCAAGTCCATTTACAAGAACAACTTCTTTCTGATATGAACAAAGGAACGACAACAAAGATACAAAATGTTGAATTGGGAAAAAAAATTTTGAAAGAAAGACTTTACCACAAGAAGGTACTTCTTATACTCGATGATGTGAATAAATTGCAGCAATTGAATGTTTTGTGTGGAAGTCGTGAATGGTTTGGTTTGGGTAGTAGAATAATCATCACAACACGAGATATGCACATTCTAAGAGGGAGAAGAGTTGACAAAGTGTACACAATGAAAGGAATGGATGAAGGTGAATTTATTGAGCTTTTCAGTTGGCATGCATTCAAACAAGCGAGTCCCAGAGAAGAATTTATGGAACTTTCTAGAAGTGTAATTTCATATTCTGGGGGATTACCACTAGCCCTTGAAGTGCTTGGGTGTTATTTGTTTGATATGCAGATAAAAGAGTGGGAGTCTGCATTGAAGAAACTCAAGAAAATTCCTAATGATGAGGTTCAAGAGAAATTAAAAATAAGCTATGATGGTTTAAGTGATGATACAGAGAAAGAAATTTTCCTTGACATAGCTTGTTTTTTCATTGGAATGGATCGAAATGATGTTATACATATATTAAATGGTTGTGGACTTTGTGCCGAAAATGGAATACGTGTTCTTGTAGAGAGAAGTCTTGTAACAGTTGATGCTAAAAACAAGCTTGGAATGCATGATTTGGTGAGGGACATGGGAAGAGAAATCATTCGTGCAGAGTCACCAAAGGAGCCTGAGATGCGTAGTAGGCTATGGTTTCATGAGGATGTTCTTGATGTACTATCAAAAGAAACTGTAAGGGCTTGTTCTTGTCTTATCAATTTTAATTTAATATATATTTATAGCTATAGTAATATACATATTATTAGTGAGTTTTCAAATTAAATTGCACGATACTTATCACAAGACCTTAAAAATTAGATTGGTCGAGCTGCTAACAAATGATAAGTTTCTTCATGAAAGTTTTAACTACCATATGTATAGTTATGCATATCTACTCTTTTGTTTTTTCTCTGTCACAGGGAACGAAAGCTATTGAGGGACTGACTTTGAACTTACCAAAAACTAATACACAATGTTTGAGCACTGAAGCTTTTAAAGAGATGAAGAAACTCAGGTTGCTTCAACTTGTGGGTGTACAACTTGATGGAGATTTTAAACATCTTTCCAAATATCTTACATGGCTTTGTTGGCATGAATTTCCTTTAGCATGCATACCAGCAAACTTTTATCAAAGAAGTCTAGTTTCCATTGAGTTAGAAAGAAGCAATGTTACACATCTGTGGGAAAAGGCCCAGGTATTAATTTATTTTTACTGCATTTCATGAGTTACTTTCTCTCTTATTTACTCAATTCAACTAAGTGTCTCAAATATTAATATTTTTCATTTGTTCTTTTGGACACAATTTAAATTAAGTGTCTCAAATATTAATACTATTTGAGTTGTATTATATTTTTAAAAAATTGTACACTAATTTTAAAGCAAAACCCAAATTTTTTTAGAATATCTCATCAAATAACTTTGCATGAAGATTTCGATTCATAAGAAAGCCTTTTTTTCTATCTAAAACACAATAAGGTGCCAGATGAATCATGCATATGCATGCTGATTCGCATGTTCGTAAATAAAAACACAAGGCGTATAAGACATTTCAATTCGCTAACTCATTTAGATCGTCGACTTGTTGCTTGCACGGGTCAAATAACGAGACATGACATGCCAGTTCACATAATCCACGTAATAAATAGTATACATGCAGATAAGTTTAGTCTTTTAGAAATTTATGTGATCTACATTAATAAATATAGCCTGGGATGGGGGCGTTAAAAGAAAAAGTTTAAATGTTTAACATTTTTCTTGAAAGCTTAGTGAGACATTTTAGATGCATCCATTAGTATTTTAAAGTTTAAATTTATATTTAATGTTAACATATTGTATTTACTTTTTCACAGATGAAGTTGAAAATTCTAAATCTTAGTCATTCTCATTGTTTAACACAAACACCAGATTTTTCGAATTTGCCTAATCTTGAAAAGTTGATACTCAAAGATTGTTCAAGGTTGTCTGAAGTTTCTCATACCATTGCGCATTTAAATAAAGTTCTTCTAATAAATTTGGAAGATTGTATTAACCTTTGTAACCTTCCCAGAAGTATCTATAAATTGAAAACTCTTGAAACACTCATTCTTTATGGATGTTTAAAGATCGACAAGTTGGAAGAAGACATGGAACAAATGGAATCTTTGACAACGCTCATCGCAGATAAGACTACAATAAAAACAATGCCCTTGTCAATAGTTAGATCAAAAAGCATTCGATACATTTCTTTGTGTGGCTATGAAGGATACTCATGTGATGTATTTCCTTCTATCATTTGGTCTTCAGTGTCACCAACAAATACTCTGTCATCCCGGGTTCAAACATTTGCTAGCAAGCCATTTCTTGTTTCTTCAGATGTACTTAAGACCAGTTCTTCTCACCTATTATGTACTTCCAAGGACCTTCCAAAGCTTCAAAGTCTTGTGATAGAGTTCGAATCAGAAATTCGACTATTTCAAGATGCAAGAAGTATTTTAGATGCTTTATGTGCTACAAAATTTGAGGAATTAGAATCAACTACGTCACAAATGCATGATATGAATGATCTTACATTAATTGGATGCAGCAGACAAGTGGACATGCCAGAATCAAAACGTTCCTTGAGATCGCTTTTAATTCAAATGGGAAGGAGTTCTCAAGTCACCAGTATCTTGAAACAGAAAATTTCACAGGTTTCAGCTCTCTCTCTTCCTCTCTTACACGTATGTAAATGTTATATCTCAAAAGAAAAAAAATATAGTATTATATTTCTTATTAAATCAGTTTTAAATATTGCTTATCTTTGCGCAGTTGAACTTTTTAAAATATATGGTAGTGTATAGTATTATATGTCGTTGGTTACATCTATTCTTATTCCAAACAAATAATCTTATGCATAAATAAAATCTCTTTATCAATTTATTTATTTTTCTACAAGTCATCATCAAGCACAATAATTTTTTGGTAATCGAAAGATAATTTTTTATTCATGCCAGACTGAGTTATTATCTTACTAAAACTTTAATAATTGTTCAACTAATTATAGTGTGGTATTATTGCATTGTTCAATTGTATATATTTTTCTAATACATATATATGTATATTTCAGAATATGAGTACTAGTGAGTGGGATGATTGTTTGTTCCCTAATGATAGCTATCCGGATTGGTTAACCTTCGGCAATGAAGGTTCTTCTGTAGTTTTTGAAGTCCCTCGAGTGAACCAACGTACCTTACAGACGATAATGTTCCATATCCACTATTCTTCCCCAGACAATATAACATCAGATGGGCTGAAAAATTTGCTGGTGATAAATCACACAAAGACCACTATTCAACTTTATAAAAAAGATGCATTAATCTCTTTCAAAGATGAGGAGTGGCAGAGGGTGCTACCAAATATAGAGCCTGGTAACAAAGTGGAAGTTGCAGTGTTTTGTGGGAGTAGATTAACAGTGAGCAAGACCATTGTTTATCTCATATATGAGTCAATGGATGAAAAACTGTAGCACTGCCTCACGTCAAATAAGAATGTGATTGTTTCTTGTGGTGATGAAAATGCATACGCTGACTGGTCGCTCTCTCCTCATGTGGGTAATAAATTCTGTTGTGACGGCCGTGGAAGAGATGGCTCTGGCCGAAGAGGTGACTGTAGTGGTCACAGCAATGTTCAGTGTCAAGTATGCTACTAGAAATTTGGCCACATTGCTGCCAGTGGCAATCATCGTTTTGATCTCAATTCTGTTGCTCAAAGCAATTTCCAGTTTCAGAATAAGTTCCCTCAGCAGTGAAACCTATCTTTTCACCTTCTTAAGATGGTACTCTTCCAAATAAATAAGCAACAATGTCACCTTCTTATATGCATCTACACAGGTTCATCCTCTACAACAAGCACTTCTGATTCCTTACACACAACATTCTCAGTCTCAAATGTGGCATCTGCTTCAGTACCTCTTTTAAGGTTTCTTCAAGCATAAATCACTAACTGTGGCGTATGTCAGAATCCAGTTCAACAATCTCACAATTTGTATATAAATTCGGGGCTTCTCACCATGTTACTTCAGACCCAATTAATGTTGTCCAATTTGAATCAATTCAAGGCCAGGATCATGTTTTCCTCGGGTGTGGTCAAGTTTTGCCCATACAGCATGGTTTGGTCCCAGTTATATTGCTGGGAGCAACTCTCAGATTCAGAGTTTCTCTCAGCAGCATGCAACATTGCAGCTATCTTTCCACGTTCTCAGGGGTCATCCTCTTCCACATCAGCAACTGTATCACTTCTCCTAAGAGCATCCTACGCATGTTCCACCTCTAAAGCAAGCAGTGGCATATAAGATTTTTCTACAGCAAGCATTGCCATCTGCTGCGTGCCTCTTATGAGTTGTCCGGAATGATATATCTCTTACTCATGCTCATCCCAGGCTCCAGCTCAACAATCTCAGAAATGGTTCAAAAATTCTGAGATTTCACACCATGTTACTTCAGATCCAACAAACCTCTGCATGTTGAACCAACACAAGGCAAGAGTCTCTTGGTTTTCCCATACAATTTATTGGTTTTGCCTCTTTTACTACCTACTCTCTTCCTTGTATTACTTTCATAGTTTTAAATTGTTGTTGTACCGAAAGTGTTAGGAGCCCAAATAGGCAACTGGGCTTGGATGCATCAAAATCAGGAGGCGCAGGCCCATTGTTTGTAAAGTCTAAGGAAAAAAAAAATAGAGAATGATAAGGTGGTGTGTTACTTTCTTTTTATTTTCTTTGCAAAATACAAATTGTATATTACTTTATTAGAATTTAATATAATTGTAAAATATCTTAGTTTCCTAGTAATCTAATCAAGTACACATATGTATTTTATAAATAGATTGTACATACCAAAGAATAAATATATTTCAGTTTATATTTTTCAAATTGACATCTAAGTAATAACGATTTTTTAGATCTTAAATCCTTTAAAATCTGAGGAAAAGAAATTTGATTTATTTAAAACGAAATTAGTTTTTTTTTGTTATTCAAACTTAAAAAGTTTTCAATAGTCTTTCAAAAACATGTTACAATGTCGGAAAAAGAATACAAATGTCGAGTTGAGAATTGAGGTTTTCACACTCAAACAAAATGGAAAGTTTAAGGTATATAGGTATATGTACTAGAAACAACTATGAATAAACTTAGTAATATTGTTAATATTTTTAATGATGTATGGATTATTAATATTGAAGCTACAAATCATATGACATTGATTCTAGAAAGGTCAATAAAATTAAATCATCTACACAAAAATATGTTTCTACTCGCAAATGGAAATAAAATACAAATTATTGAAGAAAGATATTTAAATCTTACTAGTACTTAAAATTTTGATTTTATCTTTATTGTTCCTTTTTTAAAATTGTAATCTTTTATCTGTTTCCCAAATAACAATTGATTTATCTTATGTGATAACTTTTTGACCTGGCTCTTTCATTCTTCAAGATATTAAAACAAAACAATCTCTTATATCATGGTTTGAAAGGTTCACAATATCTATATAACATTTGAATATCAAAACAATCTCCACGATCATACTTTATTCTTTCATAAAAAAATAGATAAAATAACTACACTTATTGTATATATGGATAATATGATTGTTACAGGAAATGATCTAGAAGAAAGTAGAGTGTTACAAGAATATTTATCGAAGTTTGAAATGAAGAACTTGATCCCTTAAAATGTTTTCTAAGAATTGAAGTATCTCGATCCATGAAGGATTTTTTTTTGTCTAAGAAAAATATGTCCTAGACTTGCTGTAAGAAACAAGTATGTCAGTCAATGAATATTCCAATGAAAAAAACTTTTTAAAGTTATCTACTATGTCAAATCAAGTCCTAGTTGATAAACAAAGATACCAAAGACTTATAGAGATATTGGTGTACTTAGCAAACATAAGACCAAATCTTGCTTACACATTAAGGGTGACCACTAAATTTATGCATAATTCTGGGCAATAACATATGAATGTAGTTATACACATATTGGTGTTAATTTGATTGGATCATTAGAAAATAGACCATCAACATTGGGTTATTTTATATTTGTTAGTGATAATCTTATTACATGGAGAAGCAAAAATCAAAATGTGGTATTTTGCTCAAGTGCAAAAGCTTAACCTTTATGATCAAGATTCTTCTTGCAAGATCTTAGATACTCATCCACAAAACCTATTAAACTCAATAAAGTTGCTTGTGATGTTGTCCATAATAGAATACAATATAATCGAACAAAATACATTGAAGTTGATAGATTTTTTTATTAAGAACAATTTAGAAGAAAAGAATTGTAAAATTGTCTATGATTTGTTTAAAAGACCAATTAGTTGATATCATAACAAACATCATCTCAAATAAAATATTCTCAAAATGTCTAAAAAAATTGGGTATATGAGATTTATATGCACTAACTTGAGGGAGGGAGTATTGAGACTTACTTTCTTTTTATTTTTTATTTTTTTCTAAAACATTATTATACAGATTGTATATTATTTTATTAAGATTTTATATAACTATAAAATATTTTAATTTTTTAATAACCTAATTAGATACACATTTGTATCATATTAATAAGTTGTGCATATTCTATTTCATGTCAAAAAATGAATATATTTTAATTTATATTTTTCAAGTTTAATATTGTCGCAAGGTTTAGTATATGAGTACGTGAGATATATTATAAGAATTTTTTTTATTATATTAAACGTGAGAAAATGAGAAGAACATCGTTTTTATAATTACAAAGTTTGTTAGAAATGGAGAACTTTAGTTCTTTATTGGGTCCTATTTTTGGGACAAAAGAATCTCTATTCTCTTGTATTTCCTTTTATTATTCATAAATTATATAGTATTTCATTTCTATTAATTATTTTTTATTTATATTCATTTTGTATTTCTATTATGATTCCAATCAAATTGGTCTAACCCAGTTGGATTAGTTAAGAGCATTTTTAATCTAACAATGTTGGGGACTAGCATGTAAAGAGGTAAGTAGAGGTGGATTACACTAAAGAAGAAGAATGATAAGGGAGGAATGGAAGCTAAGGTGAAATCTTTGGAGACAAAGGTTGAGTACTCTCAAAATCACAGTTTCATCAATGAAAATTCTAGTAATAAAGGGCAAGTTCTAATCATGGAGAAGTTGGATTTCCTTGTACAAAATTAAAAGAGTAACAAAGGGGGCAAAGAAGAGTCTACTAGCATGGAGGATGAAGGTAGCATATAGGACAAAACAGACCTGAAGAAGAAAAATATTTTGTTGAAGAAAACTTCCATGATAAAAAGGATCATCTAGTTTCGCAATCAAATAATGGCAAGCTAAATCATTTAAGGAGTCTTATTGATCAATTAAAAAGATTTAGTTTTCGATATTTGATGGAGACAATCAAGCAAGATAGATTATCAAAGTGAATGTTTATTTTTGTTCTAGTTAAAAATTGTAAGAATTTTTACTAGATTCGAGTGAGTAAAAACTTGTTTTTACTTAAACTTAAATGTCTCTTTTATTATGCTATTACGATTCAAGTTTAACCCTAATGGACTTGGACCCTAATATCATGTCATTATGTACATCAAATGGCTTGATTATAGAAGTGGTGGAGTGATAATAGTAATTATTCTATTTATATGCAAGATGAAGATGTTTATGATCTTTAGCAAGATTATGGAGATTTACTTTAATTATTCAATCTTAATTATCATAAAAAGGTCAATATCTTAGGATTAACACCATACAACCTTTCACCCTTGAGGCGGAGCCAAAAAGGTTTAGATATTAGACCTAGAACTTAACAATATTTTGACCATGCTTGGACATTACATAACCCCTCAACATTAAGGCGAAGAGTTGAGGTTTAAACTCTTGTAAAAAATGGTCAAAATATTGATAACTCTTCTTAAAAGATCAATCATTAAAGTCGAGAAAAGAATGAAACCAATAATTGAACACTACACAACCTTTCAGTCTCAAAACAGAGCTGTAAAGTTTTAAGTACTAGTCACCATATTTGACAACATTTCAATTATTCATGGACGCCACACATCCCAAAGAATTTTAAACAAAGCATTATCTTTGGAGGAGACCTATCATGACACATGTCACCCATCAATAGTTTGAAATGATGGCACGTCCTATCACTTACTTTAAACTATAAATATGATCATAATATCAATAACTCTTCTTAAAATATCAACCACTAGGATCAAGAAAAGATTGAAGCTAATGATTGGACATTACACAACCCATTAGCCTCGAGACAAAGATGTTAAGGCTTAAATCCTAAGCTTTAAGTTAGGAATAGTCTAAGTTCAGTGATTGAACACCGATCCCTCAATCTCGAGGTAAAGATGTTGAGGCTTAAATTCATGTCAAAAATAGTCATAATATCAATAATTCTCATTAGAATATGTCTAATGTTAATGACAATTTGTGCATCAAGTCATTAACAATCACATTATCTACCTCATAGGGTATTGAGTTGATGATGAAAATTACACATCAAGTTATTGGCAATCACATTATGGATCTCATAAGGTCTTGAGTGGATAAACCTCTTAGGGTCTCAAATGTGGTTAGTATCGATCATGCCTCGAATATCAATCAAGAATTTCTTGTGTCACATCGAGAATCTCATGGGGTCTTTTGTCGTTGTGGGGTCATGCTCCAAATCTCAATCAAGAATCTCTTGTGGTACATCAAGGACCTCATGGGATCTCTTTTTGTTATGGATCATATCTCGAATCTCAATCAATAATCTTTTATGGCATGACCATGTCTTAAATTTCAATAAAGGATCTCTTTATGGTATGTCGAGGACCTCGTGCAATCCCTTTTTGATGTGGGTCATGCCTCAAATCTCAATAAAGAATCTCTTATGGCATGATTAAGCCTTGGATCTCAATAAATCATATCTTTTTGGCATACTAAAAACCTTGTGGGGTCTCTTATCGTGGGTCATGTCTTAGAATCTCAATCAAGCCTCTTTTATAGCATGATCATACCTTAGATCTCAATAAATGATCTTTTTATGACATGTCAAGGACCTCGTAAGATCTTTTGTCGATGTGAGTCATATCTCGAATCTCAATCAAGGATTTCTTATAGTATAATCATACATCAGATTTGAATAAATGATCTTTTTATGGCACGCTTGAGGTCTCTATGTTCTAAAAATTTTATTAAAATTGTGATAATATTTTGAAATATAAGGTATAAAAAATAATTGATTTGTTTAAAAATCAATTAGAAGAGAGAAAGCATAACGTAAAATAATTGATTGATCAAT